AACAAACCAAATCCCAGTTAAATTTTTTTGTTTCAAAATAAAAAAAGGAAAATTTATTAATCAAAAAAAGGTTATTTCCAAAAATTTGAAAAATTATTTTAAAAACTTAAAATTTATTTTATTAAAAATAAAGGGTTATATTAATAAACATTCATTTTTTTAAATATAACGAGAACCATGGTTTTTTGGCAGTATATTCATTATAGTTCATATCATTTTTAACATAAATAAAAGGTTGAAAATTTGTCGTGTCCACATTTTCTAAAACTCTTAATTCTTTAGCTTTTGGCGTGATCCGCATTTATCTTAATAATTGTTTTCTCGGGAGAGTGACAGAGTAAGGGTGAGAATGAAAGTAGAGCGAGTAGCAAGCGATTGTTTGGGTAAAAAGAGAGAGAAAACGAGAGAATGAAAGAAAGAATGGTTTGTTACAGTCAAACCTTGAACCGCTATAAACCGATTTTCACTATATACAAAATTGGTTAATACGATTTCTACCTTAATATTAAGCTTAGTTTTCGTAAAAATTATGGGATTTTTGTATAATTTAAAATTCTCACTTTAAGTCCATTAATATTATTAATAATAATGCAAACTCAACGAAATTTTCAAGTTTATACACAAATTAAACATGTTTACTTAATGCACCAGCCTCGGTTTGGTTAATAAAATTTTGAATGACATGAAGGCGTAAGGTTCTAACTATTAAAATGATTATCAGGTGGTCGGATATTTATGGTAAGGTAAGTGTACCAACTCAATTAATATTTTGTAAAAACTAAAGCTAATATACATATTTTTTTAATATATATAAAGAACGATTGATGTTTTTATGCAAGTGATTTCCTTATTTGTATTTCTTCGGTCAAAATTGACAAGGTTTTTATAACAAAATGAACACAGACTTTCCATCCAAACTTAACGTTAAAAAACAATTAATTATTTTTTATTTTTGTATGACAGTCCAGTGTACAACTAAGCCACTTTTTTTACTGAAATTTTGATTTTATCTCATGCTCATATAATATGTTGTCTAATATGTTTCAACTTTAGAAGCATTGGCTCTTTGAATATCTTGAGTATCTATTAGTGCAATGAGTGCAGCAAATAAGCAAGGTAAAAATACTAACAGATGGTCTTGATGTTTTAGCTGTTATAGATAAAAAAAACCATCAAATTTTGAACTCGGATGAATATCAGAAATAGATTAAGGAATAGACTCAACAAAGGAGTTCTAAATTTTTTTTTTAGAACCGATTCCAAATTTGGAATCAATGGATGGAATAATATTTTTCCTGCACTTGTAAAAAATTTTTGGCAATAATAATAAGGCACAGATTTCGATATGAGAAATTATTTACAACGTATTGATAAAGAAAAAAGAAGAGATTGGAAAGGATTTTATGCACGTTCAACACATCCAGAACATGAAATAAAAAATTACTTAATTGATAACATTCATAAAATTTGCCCGGGGTTTAAATACCTTGTGGATTTCGAATGGGAAATTGAAGAGGGTCATCCTAACAAAGGAAAAGGAGATTTGATTTTTGGATCAGATTACAAAACTTATTTGACAATTGAAACTAAATCTCTTCATACAGGAAGTGGCAAGATGTAGTATTAAAAAGTTTAAATAATTCAAGTAATCCAGGAAAAGGCTTTTTTGATGAGGTTGGTAATTGTCATTTAAAACAATACTGTATATTATATAATATTAATTGATTTTATATTTATTTTCAGGCAGTAAATTATTATAAAATTAAATCACAGAAAATTATTCCTTGCTTTGGTATAACTAAATTCCCAGATAATGGAAATTATGCAATAGTTTTATCTTATTTTAGAGATGGAAATTTAAGGGATTATTTACAAAAAAATCATTTAATTTAACATTAAAAGACAGGGTTACAATCTTTAGATATTTATGCAATGCACTAGATGATATACATCAGAAAGATTTAATCCATTGTGATCTACATAGTGGTAATATACTTGTGGCAGGAGGTGGTTGTTATATTACAGATTTGGGGCTATGTGGACCAGTTGATGAAGAGTCATCAAATAAAGTCTATGGAATTGTATCATATGTTTCACCCGAGTTACTTAGAGGCAATAACACAAAAAACACAAAAGAGACGGATATCTATAGTGTTGGAATGTTAATGTGGGAAATATTTGCAGGCCACCCACCATTTGATGATAGAGCTCACAA